ATTGTTAGACAACCATTTTCAGGTCTTGCCATTGATTGTCAAGTATATTTAAGTCAAAACTGTAACTCGGCCACTCAGGAAATTCACCGTCTTCTTGGTAAGCAACTTCAGTGTAGATTTGGCCTTGTATTCTAGATTATTTTCCTGCTGAAAGGGGAATTCATCTCCCAGTGTCCGGTGGAAAGCAGACTGAACCAGGTTTTCCTCTAGGATTTTACCTGTGCTTAGCTCCATTCAGTTTCTTTTTCATCCTGAAAAACTCCCCAGTCCTTAACGATTACAAGCATACCCATAACATGATGCAGCCACCACTATGCTTGAAAATATGGCGAGTGGTACTCAGTAATGTGTTGCATTGCATTTTTCCCAAACATAACACTTTGTATTCAGGACAAAAAGTGAATTGCTTTGCCACATTTTCTGCAGTATTACTTTAGTGCCTTGTTGTAAAAAGGATGCATGTTTTGTAATATTTTTATTCTGTACAGGCTTCCTTCTTTCCACTCTGTCAATTAGGTTAGTATTGTGGAGTAACTACAATGTTGTTGATCCATCCTCAGTTTTGTCCTATCACAGCCATTAAACTCTGTTTTAAAGTAATTGACCTCATGGTGAAATCCCTGAGCGGTTTCCTTCCTCTCCCGCAACGGAGTTAGGAAGCACGCCTGTATCTTTGTAGTGACCGGGTGAATTGATACACCATCTAAAGTGTAATTAATAACTTAACCATGCTCAAAGGGATATTCAATATGTACTTTTTTTTTTACCCATCAACCAATAGGTGCCCTTCTTTACGAGGCATTGGAAAACCTCCCTGGTCTTTGTGGTTGAATCTGTGTTTGAATTTCACTGCTCGACTGAGGGACCTTACAGATAATTGTATGTGTGGGTTACAGAGATGAGGTAGTCATTCGAAAATCATGTTAAATACTATTATTGCACACATAATAATAGTCCATGCAACTTGTGACTTGTTAAGCACATTCTTACTCCTGAACTTATTTAGGCTTGCCATAACAAAGGGATTGAATACTTATTGACTGAAGACATTTCAGCTTTTCATTTTTCATTACATTTGTTAAAATTTCAAAAAACATTATTCCACTTTGACATTATGGGGTATGGTGTGTAGTCCAGTGATAAAAACATCTCAAAGTAATCAATTTTAAAATCAGGCTGTAACAACAATGTGGAAAAAGTCAAGGGGTGTGAATACTTTCTGAAGGCACTGTAGTTTAGCAGTCAGTGACATTCAAAGCTTTCAGTTACAGCTATACTGTATCCTTAGAATTCAATGTATGTTAATAATTGACGGGATGATATTGACAGTCCATACATTTTGCAGTCCATCATTTGTTTGATACATTAAAATGACTCAACAGTTCGTTCGTTGTTGCAGGGAGTCCCTTCAGTTGCTTTGAACTGTGGAACACATTTACAAAAAGTGCAAGATTTCATAGACATGCTTTGAAATCAATGAAAAAGGAGAGAGAATGCAACAACGCAGGCTCTTTCAGGAAGCAGACAGACAAGCTTCACTCCCACCCTTTTGATTGGGTACACAACTAGGAAGGAGTCGTGTGACTGGCATTGAGATAAAGGACTCATCTTTATATCTGTGCCATTATAGCAATCTCAATTTTTAAGTAGTCAATTTTCTTCATGATTGGCTAATCCCGGTTGAACATGACTCCAACCGGGTCATCGGGAGGGATCAGCCAATGAAGTTGGAAGTCCCACCCAGTTGACTACATTACAATGGTTGAAGCCCTCAATGGCGCTGCCCATGCTAAAACTGCCTTTTGGCCACTGGAGGCCTCTATACGTTTCTATGGTGATTGGGTACACAACCAGGAAGGAGTGAAAGCCAATTTATGCTTGCTGCGGAAAAAGCGATCCAGAGGCTCCGTACAGAGGGGTTGATGCAATTGCGGGGCCTCCGGAGGCCAAATCGAGCTCTGTACTGCATCATTTACATTTACATTTTAGTCATTTAGCAGACGCTCTTATCCAGAGCGACTTACAGTTAGTGAATGCATACATTATTTATTAATTTTTTTCCTACCCCCTGTGGGAATCGAACCCACAACCCTGGCGTTACAAACGGCATGCTCTATCAACTGAGCTACATCCCTGCCGGCCATTCCCTCCCCTACCCTGGACGACGCTGGGCCAATAGCGCGCCGCCCCATGGGTCTCCCGGTCGCACCGGCTACGACAGAGCCTGGATTCGAACCAGGATCTCTAGTGGCACAGCTAGCACTGCGATGCAGTGCCTTAGACCACTGCGCCACTCGGGAGACTCACCACGCGCCTCCCAAATTCTGTAACAATGCGGAGGGCTCCACATACAGTTGAAGTCGGAAGTTTACATACACCTTAGCCAAATACATTTAAACTCAGTTTTTCACAATTCCTGACATTTAATCCTAGAAAATCCACAAAAATCCACAAAAATTCCCCGTCTTAGGTCAGTTAGGATCACCACTTTATTTTAAGAATGTGAAATGTCAGAATAATAGTAGAGAGAATTATTTTTTTCAGCTTTCATTTCTTTCATCACATTCCCAGTGGGTCAGAAGTTTACATACACTCAATTAGTATTTGGTAGCATTGCCTTTAAATTGTTTAACTTGGGTCAAACGTTTCAGGTAGCCTTCCACAAGCTTCCCACAATAAGTTGGGTGAATTTTGGCCCATTCCTCCTGACAGAGCTGGTGTAACTGAGTCAGGTTTGTAAGCCTCCTTGCTCGCACATGCTTTTTCAGTTCTGCCCACACATTTTCTATAGGATTGAGGTCAGGGGCTTTGTGATGGCCACTCCAATACCTTCACTTTGTTGCCCTAAAGCCATTTTGCCACAACTTTGGAAGTATGCTTGGGGTCATTGTCCATTTGGAAGACCCATTTGCGACAAAGCTTTCACTTCCTGACTGATGTCTTGAGATGTTGCTTCAATATATCCACATGATGCCATCTATTTTGTGAAGTGCACCAGTCCCTCCTGCAGCAAAGCACCCCCATAGCATGATGCTGCCACCCCCGTGCTTCACGGTTGGGATGGTGTTCTTCGCCTTGCAAGCGTCCCCCGTTTTCCTCCAAACATAACGACGGTCATCATGACTAAACAGTTATATTTTAGTTTCATCAGACCAGAAGACATTTCTCCAAAAAGTACAATCTTTGTCCCCATGTGCATTATTGTTTGTACAGATGAACGTGGTACCTTCAGGCATTTGGAAATTGCTCCCAAGGATGAACCAGACTTGTGGAGATCTACAATTGTTTTTCTGAGGTCTTGGCTGATTTATTTTGATTTTCCCATGATGTCAAGCAAAGAGGCACTGAGTTTGAAGGTAGGCCTTGAAATACATCCACAGGTACACCTCCAATTGACTCAAATGATGTCAATTAGCCTATCAGAAGCTTCTAAAGCCATGACATCATTTTCTGGAATTTTCAAAGCTGTTTAAAGGCACAGTCAACTTAGCGTCTGTAAACTTCTGAACCACTGGAATTATGATACAGTGAATTATAAGTGAAATAATCTGTCTGTAAACAATTGTTGGAAAAATTACTTGTGTCATGCACAAAGTAGATGTCCTAACCGACTTGCCAAAACTATAGTTTGTTAACAAGAAATTTGTGGAGTGGTTGAAAAATGACTTTTAATGACTCTAACCTAAGTGTATGTAAACTTCCAACTTCAACTGTAGCTCTGCATTGACATGATTGGTTGACAGTAGGTGGGCGCGAAAGGTCCTGTATAAACATAAAATAATTTCCTTAACAACAGCTCTGCTCCGGGAAGCGCAAGTAGTATGAATGCGCCGACATCCATCTCTTATAAAACATTCTGAAAGCTCTGAATGTTGTGCTTTTCTGAATACAATCTGAGTAGCTTGGGTGTCAGTCTGAATCTGCTTTTATCCGACTTGAGCTTGTCTTAGCATTATTAAATAAATGGAGAACGAGTCCGGCACCCAGGCTATTCTAGCAGAGCAAAAACCAAAAGAGCTACATTGCTACCAAAACGAGCCCTTTGAGGAAGAATGAGGCGAAAAAAATTGGCACAAACACAAAGCAAAAGCAGCAGACAGACATCCCAAAGGAAAAATAACATGGGTACTGGAACACGGATGCAATGACGTCATCAACAGCCTGGGTCTAGTTGGGAGGACTGAACAGCGCACCTATACAGGTCTTCATTCTCACATCTTCGACCACTCGAGTGGAAAATTGCAGTGATATATACATGTCAATCTCTTCTGGCTCAAAGTTGAGGAGAGATTGACTGGATCACTATTGGTCTTTGTGCGAGGTGTTGATGGGTTAAAGGTACTGAACTGTCTGTTCAAGCAGTTGGTACACAGTTCGGACACTCATCAGTACCACTCAAGACATGCAGCCAGACGACTCTTCACAGTCCCCAGGTCCAGAACAGAGGCTGGGAAACACACAGTATTAAATAGAGCCATGACTACATAGAACTCTCTGTCACCCCAGGTAACATAATTAGGCCAGCAATAAAACCAGATTAAAAAAACACCTTACGGAGACTGTGGAGAGACACAGACATTTTTATATATTTTGTATTGTATTATGTATATTATTTATTGTCTTTTGTTTCCTGTTGTTTCGACCCCAGGAAGAGTAGCCACTGCCTTGGAAGCGGCTAATTGGGGATCCTAATAAAATACTTAAATACTTTTCAGAGTCAACTGCTGACAACATTGTCACTCAGTCTCATCCATGTAGACTCTGTGTTAGGAAAGTTTAACTCTGTACGATGCAACCCCTCACCTGACAGTAGTAGTCCAACGCCTTTTGACAGTCATTCACATCCCCGTAGTCTCATTACATTACCCACAATCCCCCAAATACAATGCCTGGGTACATCCATCAATTATTCCACGGGCTGTCATAGGCCTTAAATCCTCCAATCCTCCAATCGTAGGTCCTTTCCGGTTTTGTCAGCCCCCCCATGTTTCTCGTCCTCACTAGTGGTTGAACTTGAAGTGGTAGTTGCTGCCGGACTCGAAGGGGTTGTAGTGGAAGGGCCCTTGGCCACCCTGACCCCCTCCTCCACCCTGCTGGCTCTCTGGGTCCAAGGGGTCCTCGCCCGAGTCAAACTTCTGACGCATTTCTACAGGGGATGGAGAGACGTGCAAATAAAAAACTAGTTCATCTTGTTTCCAGCTGTGTTTTCAACACACATTTAGATTCCTGAAAACAGGTCTGACAGGATGTCATCATACTGCAAATAGGCTACATCTTCTTAAATACAATCACACCAGATATACATTTTCCAGTATGGGACAGGTTAATAGTACTCTTATCTACAAGCTTGACCAACACTATCAGGTGCATATACAGTACGGTACCTGGGTTGGTGAGCACCTCTTTAGCAGAGGCGATGTCGATGAACTTTTTCTCTGCCTCCTTCTTCTCCGCCTCCTCTCTGAAGTTGTCAGGATGCCACTGTTGGGCCAGCTTCCTGTACGCCTTGATGATTTCCTGTTTGTTGGCACTCCTGGAGAAAAATAGCATAAGCTAAGGTAAAAGCCTGTTTGAATACAAGGAGCAAAAGCATTCCAATTTCCCTGAGGTGATCACAGAGGTTGGTGAAAATAATTGCAACATAATGAACCTTTCACTTGTCCAATTGCTTAAAGATCACAAAGAGAGTAGATTATGTCAAGGAAGGAAGGAATTCTGTTTTTAAGAAGTATTTGAACAGGGCTCCCTTCGCTAGGTCAGCCATACCTATTGACACCCAGGACCTTGTAATAGTCCCTCTTCCGGGAGAGCTTGAGCAGTTTCTGGGCTCGCTCTAGACCTTCCCTGATCTCATTGTTCTCCATGTCAAACTCCCTCGCTTCCTGGTAGTCTTCCACCGCTAGAGAGGGAGGGAGAGGTAAAGAAAGGCAGAGAGAGACCGAAAGAAAGATTCAAATGGATACTTGACAAAGCTGGCACAATGATCCCACTGTTAGTCATTTAGCAGACGCTCTTATCCAGAGCAACTTACAGTTAGTGCATTCATCTTAAGACAGCTAGGTGGGACAACCACAAATCACAGTAAGTACATTTGTCCTCAATAAAGTAGCTATCAGCAAAGTCAGAGCTATTAAGAGGGGGAAAATGCTAGTTTTAGTTCAGGCTTTAGACTGGCTCCTGGCTACAAACACTGGGTTACATGGCAAGTTTGGGCGCCCCTGAGCTACAAAAAGCCCACAAGTAAACAAAGCCAGTGTTTGAGTACTTGAGGGAGTGAAAAACAATGCGACATAAAGTGTTATCATTCCATGCCATCATTCTCTTTGCTACAGTAATAGCAATGGTGAAAGTACCTTTCTCGTAGTCCTGGTTGAGGATGAAAGCCTCAGCTCTGTCTCGGAGGATGTTGATGTTGCGTGGGTCTCTCTGGTGGGCTTCAGAACAGATGTCTATTGCCTTAGCAGCCATCTTGTTCTGGTTGAGAATAATGGAGCAACGTATATAAAGCATTATTATTGGGACCCAGTCCATTTGTAATTACTTAATCATTAACTAATATACTTAAAGAGTTATGTGAAATCAGTGGTTGTAAAAGTAATTATGAAAATTCGATCACACTACCAATTAATTTCTGACTTTAGTAGAAGAACAGGCCAAGGTTTTACTATCAAATGACTATGGCTGAGGCCATGGTAATGGTCCACTCCATAGGTTCAATATTTCTCTGTGATCGGACCCACCTTGACCAGGCAGAAGCAGATCCTCTCATTGGCTTTGTTGGTGTAGTACGGGGACATTAGGCTCTGTCCTCATCACTGACTCATACTGGACTATGGCCTCCTGATACCTGAGAACAAACATTCGATAATATACATTTAAGGGCAATACAACCACTGTACAATAGTCATGACTAAAATCAACCAAAGTCGATACAAATAGGATAGGTTTAGTGCTAAAACTGTAAAAGAAACCTGAGAAGAAACCTAAAATATTAAACTGTCAAAGGAACACAAGGACTGAAATATAAAAAACTTGCATGGGAACTGAAACATAAGCCCGCATGGAGGGACTACTATTTAAGACCACATAGGAAGGTATTAAGGGTTGCCCTATTGCCTGGGGCAAGTGAACTGAGCAGTTGTGCATGTTAAGCCTGCTCTGAGGTTGCCCCATTTAAACAACCAAACTGCAAAGAATTCCAGCAGCCTAAAACTGATTATATTCTGGTTCCTCCCCATTGTTTTAGTAAAAGTTGAGCCTGCTCAGATTTTTTTACTGATAACAACCAAAATACAAAATAATTCCACTACTGATCTTACTGATTCCTCCCCTATTTGTAGGCGAAAGGCAGACAATATATGCCACTTCTGAATGTAAATAGCTTATTTTAATTTTTGGCCAAAAATCTGAATAAACAGCATCATTACACAGGTGCACCTTGTGCTGGGGATAATAAATGGCCACTTTAGAATGTGCAGTTTTGTCACAACACAATGCCACAGATGTCTCAAGTTTTGAGGGAGTGTACAATTGGCATGCTGACTGCAGGAATGTCCACCAGAGCTGTTGCCAGAGAATTGAATGTTCATTTCTCTACCATAAGCTGCCTCACGACCGCAGACCACGTGTAAACACGCCAGCCCAGGACCTCAACATCAGGCTTCTTCACCTGCAGGTTCGTCTGAGTGGGGGTGCTGAGGAGTATTTCTGTCTGTAATAAAGCCCTTTTGTGGGGGAAAAACTAATTCTGATTGGCTGGGCCTGGCTCCCCAGTGGGTGCCCACCCAGGCCCACAGTTGGCTGCACCCCTGCCCAGTATTGTCCATAGATTAGGGCCTAATACATTCATTTAAATTGACTGATTTCCTTATATGAACTGTATTTTTGTTCATTATAGATAGTGGTATTGACCTCTCCTCCTTGATGTGCTCCTCGGCAGAGTCCAGCTGCTTGCTGAGCTTCTTCACCTGTTTGTAGTGGGAAAAACACTCCTTGTCGTCCTGGTCCAGCTTCAGACAGTCCCGGACGTGACTGCAGAGGGAGAGGAGAGAGGAGAGAGGAGAGAGAGAAAGAGCGAGAGAGAGAAAGAGAGAGCGAGAGAGAAAGAGAGAGCAAAGAGAGAGATTTACGTATAATGTAAAGCGGATTGAGATTTCTATTTATTTATTTTTTCATGTATTTTGAAAGAGAGTGAGTATTCTTTACTAACTAACAAACCTCAAGTGCCACAATCAACCACAAATACAAAAACTCAAACCAATGTTGCTCTGAAGCCCAAAACCTCTTCATTTACATGTATTTGCTTGATAAATGTGGTTGATTGTTTGTTTGTTTAAATCACTCCGCCCTATTACTAATACAAATTCCTAGTGAGCGTACCCTAGTGACTCCTGGTGTTCCCCCAGGTTATAGTGCAGGGTGCTGAGCTTGAGGAAGGCAGCTCGGTTGTCGTTCCTCAGCCGGGTGGTGGGAGTCAGGTCCTGGATGGCCTTCCTGGGGTCTCCCAGGCGGATGTAGCATTCAGCCCGGAGCTCCCGAGACTCAGGGTCCCAGGGGGAGAGCTGAGGAGAAAGAGAGGTAAGGTCAGTGGTGTGAATTTTCCCTTTTTATGATTTGATACAAAGACTGTTGAAGTATAGTACAGCACTGTTTGATGATGAAGGTATTGTTTAGGTGAATAGGCATTTCTTTCCATCCTCAGACTAGGCCCTGTGACAGAGTGAGCCCCTACCTCCATGACAAGGCCCAATGTCTAGGCCCTGTGGCAGAGCTAACCCTACCTCCATGACAAGGCCCAATGTCTAGGCCCTGTGGCAGAGCTAACCCTACCTCCATGACAAGGCCCAATGTCTAGGCCCTGTGGCAGAGCTAACCCTACCTCCATGACCAGGCCCAATGTCTAGGCCCTGTGGCAGAGCTAACCCCTAACTCCATGACCAGGCCCAATATCTAGGCCCTGTGGCAGAGCTAACCCCTACCTCCATGACCAGGCCCAATATCTAGGCCCTGTGGCAGAGCTAACCCCTACCTCCATGACCAGGCCCAATATCTAGGCCCTGTGGCGGTGCTAACTCCTACCTCTACGACGCGGTCCAGCACAGTGATGGTGGTGCTGTAGTCTCCTCTGTGGTGGGCCGCGTGGGCCTCCTCCTGGAGCTCCTCCAGCTCGTTTGCCCTCATCAACTGGTCCTGCGCCTCCTCCTGGTCAGGGGAGCGCTGCAGCTGAGGAGGAGAAAATAAAGAAAATAGAGAGGTAAAGTTTCTGAAGAAACTGTGTGTCATTTATTACATGCTTATAATTGCTATAACAGATCACTCATATCAGGTCTAAAAAGACATAATACCACACAACTCATATCAAGTCTGTAATCTAATCCTTCAGATTCCCTTTACCTCGCCCACATCACATAATTGCAATAAAAAAAGGATAATGAATGAGATTTTACTTTAAGCGCAACATGAGACAGCGAGAGGATACGATGATGGTATGAGCATTCAGAAAATACAGCAGTGAGATTTTGATTGAAAGAAGAATAAGGTGCATCTAGACATAGAAATATAATTAATAGTATGGTAATAGTAGCATTATAGTAGTTATATTTCTATGCATCTAGACTTACCACAGCCTCAAAGTCCTCCCGAGCCTCCTGGGTGTTGCCCTGCTTCAGGAGGATATTCCCTCTCTGCAGTCTGGCCTGGAAACATGGAGGCAGTTGGAGGGAGAGAGATAGAGGGATGGATGTTGAAAGTAGGAGGAGAGAGTGTGAAAGAATGAGGGAGGGAGCCAGAGAGGGAGAAAGATAGGACACAAAGATAGAGAAAGATACAGGTAAACAGGCAGAGATAGATGGAGAAAGAAAGAGTTATCACAACATTGTTGTCCATAACTGTGATTTATCATGACAACAGAGATTATATTATTGTTGATGACTGACTGTGTCCACTTACAGCCAGGAAGTCTGGTTTGAGCTGGATGGCTCTGGTCAGATCTGGAAGGGCTGATTTGGACTTCCCCATTGCCAGAAACACAGCTGCCCGCTTGTAGTAGGTGAGGTAGTTCTTAGAGTCTCCCTCTGAGGGAAGGCATTGGGTGAAATACAGTACGTTAGTAGGTGATCACATACTTTATATCTAGCTATTTTCATGTGGCTATATTGATTACATGGCCATCCATTGACTGAAAGTGTGTAGGCATAAATGGTCAATGTGTTTATCTAGGTGAATAGGTTTAAGACAGAGAGTGAGGGGGAGAGAGAGATCTGAAAGAATGCATGACAAAGTTGGCCTACAACGATCCATCCTTTGGAAGGACTGTGTTATGCAATGCAGCAGCCTGACTTATTTTTAAGACACAAAGGCTACAGGCAGGGATCTAAGGATGTTTGAGCTATGATGACTTGTGTCTGGTTGGTAACCTTACCCACTGCATAGTGGTAGTGGGACAAGGCCTCCGCCAGTTGACCGGCGGCCAACAGCTTACGGCCCATGTCCAAGTGCTGCTCAATCTCCACATGAGTTGCCCCCAAGACACCTGAAACACAACACTTTGTGTGAGTCTCTTAGAAGCCCCCAAAGCAATACATATAACTAGTTCAGCTAACCACATAGGAACTGACTTTAATGCAGGAACCAGAGTATGTTCTTCAATTATGTGCTATTTGTAGACATGCATTCTTCCCTCTAGATTTAAATCAAGGGCTTTGTTTGTAAAGGGGATATTCAAAATACAAGTGGAAAACCTGCGATAGCCAAAGGGTTTGGGTAGCCTATTTAGCCTACAGCTAGTAGCAAGTAATGAGGGGCACACAGTTAGCTACCTGATCATGCTGAACCCTATAACGTTACAATCGGTCGTAGCCATATGGAAATTACTGAATACTTTAGTTACCAACAACGCAGGCAGAACTATTGCAGAAAAAAACACATAGCTAACTAGCTTGTCTGCCTTGTCTTACCGTCCAACTGGAGGTCCAGTATGACACAGAGCAGTGACAAGGAAGACAGGACCCCGCTGAGACCTTTCCGTCGACCCGACTCCATACTTGAATACTTCACACTTCTCCTGGAGCTGTATATTTCACGTCTCTGATATAATTATACTGTAAACTACGTACGCTATCATTTAAACTGTAATTTCCTTCATCGTTTTTCCTCCTGAACCTTTGAGGATAGCTAGTGTTCCCATAATCCGGTTAAGAAATAGTTCCGAGTGATACCGTGAAACGCAACTGGAAGGTTCCTGCAATTTCCTTGCAAAGGACAACACAAGTTGTTTAGACAGCCAAGAGTGAGCAAAAAGATTGCATGGATCTAATATATTGTTCTCGTTTTCTCTACGTGGCATACTATTGAATAACTTCGGCAAATGTCAACAATAGGTGCTTTCTAAAGTGAAACTTCACCCGGTCCGGTTTTGGCAACCTCTTTCAGTTCGCGAACGATTCGTTCTTTTTGAACTATTATTTTTACTGACTCGAGAGTCATGATTCATTTTCTGAGTGATTCGTTCATTTTAGTCGTTCGAATGACTTACTAGTGCTGGCCGCAACGAGTCCTACAGTATAGGTTGGCTTCACGCTCCTCCGGCACAGAGGCTCCAGAGACATGATCTGACGACCAACTGTCTGTCAAATGCGCGCAGAGAAATAGATAATGAGCATAGAGAAGACAAATACATGTTTAGAAGTAATCATTGATCGCATGGTGCAAGAATTAATGTAATAATGTATTATTGAATGTTATGATGGACACAGCGTTGTAGAACCAAAACATATACAGCCTCAGAGCCATCTGCTCAACAAACCCGAACTCGAGAACGAATCGTCTGGGGGGCTGCAGTTCGCGAACGATATTGTGCTTATCACTCTCACGGCAGTCCACAACTAGACCTCGTTTCAAATGTATAATTCAATAAATAATCTTATTTGTATGCATAGCAATCAACAAATGTACATTGTTTAAAGCACACGTTTACAAGTCTCAATCACAAATGACAGCTCCAATAACCTCCCTATGAATGAGATGTGAACGAGTGGCTTGTAGAATCGTTACTTTTTCAAGTTTTCAGTTCATCATTCGCCAGTACGGGGTCCTGCGTGCTCTGGTCATTACTGACTCAAATGAAATAAATGAGTCGAAAGATTCGTTCTTTGGACTGAACGAGTCGAAAATATCCGAGTCAGTAATAAGAGCCGAATTTCCCATCACTAATTTCTGTGCGGTGAGTGGCCACTGGCCAGACCTCGCGTCACACATCCTTGTTGCCTAAAACGTAGGGCGGTCTCATTGGTTGAACTATTTTAGCTCGTAGACGACACTCCCATGTCCTTGTATGGTACAGAATACCATCACTGAACAGGCAGGCATACACACACAGTGGAAATACCATAATAATCATACAAGGAATATCATTGATAGGCCTACCCTATGTCAAATTTTCTGTGGTAATAATAAGCATATGGTTGACGATGTTCATTCCTTATTAGATACAAACAAAATAGGAATTTGAGTATTTAAAGAGGAATTTTATTGGGTGGAATTATAAAACACTAAAACAAACATTCAGAATGGCATATGACCACCACACACATCTCAGACATGATAAAACTGTACAAACAATGCAAAACATTTCGATACCAGAAATACAAATCAATATATGAGAATCAATCAAGTTTGAATCTGCTGGTTATGACTTCCCCCTAGATCTAGAAGTTTGTACAACAACAGATCATCAAGTGATTCCTTTTCCAAAGAAACAAACTACCTGATTGTCAATATGCAATGCCAACATGAGCCTATATCATTATGAAAATAAATGTGTGAAATGTACATATACTGTAATGAATGTATCAATTATAAGGCATCCCATCTTCTGCACATTATTTTACAGGCAATATGTTTTCACAGTGCACAACAACATAACTAACTGACACTTCTTCAATTTGAGATGATTCCAACTCAAAGACATGATCATATTGGTTACAGCAGGGGTGTCAAACTCATTTTGGGCCGCATTCGGTCTTCAACAACGTCCAGAGGGCCGCAGTGAAAATTGGTCAAAATGTGCAAAAAATGGTTCTCTAGCCATCGTTTTTTGAATTTTCTATGCTCCCTGACTGTCTAGCTTTCATTTAGGTAATTATTAGCATAGCCGCGGGAAGTAAGGGTGCTGGTCAATTTAAATAATTTTACAAAAATTATAAAACACAATCTTGCCAAAATTATATAAATAATCTTGCCAAATTTGTAACAAATAATTTCCCCCACAATTATATGACTCTTGTCTGAACAGACATAAATACAATATTTCAAAATACTACACCATAGAGCATAATTTTGCCACAGAGTATCAATAGCTTCTAAAACATGTTAGAAGCTATTGATAAAAAGTGTTTTATTACAACACTTAGAGTCATGAAGGCTCCAATTTGGGCCAGGCATGTGCCAAATATTGAACAGGTTGATGCATCCATAGAAGGATTTTGGAACCTCTAACCCTGGCACTTCAACTGTTAAACCCATGGGTACACTTGCAATGGCTGCCAGTCCTGACTTTAATAGGAACAGCCATCGGCCATCACCCTCGCCTAGGCTTCATCTTCATCATTGGTTGAGTCACTGTCACTGGAAAGTTTATTTTGTAGCCTATTGTGGCATATACTATATACAGTACCAGTCAAAAGTTTGGGAGACACCTACTCATTCAAGGGTTTTTCTTTATTTTTACTATTTTCTACATTGTAGAATAATAGTGTAGACATCAACACTATGAAATAACACATATGGAATCATGTAGTAACCAAAAAAGTGTTAAACAAATCAAAATATATTTTATATTTGAGATTCTTCAAATAGCCACCCATTGCCTTGATGACAGCTTTGCACACACTTGGCATTCTCTCAACCAGCTTCATGAGGTAGTCACCTGGAATGCATTTAAATTAACAGGTGTGCATTCTTAAAAGTTAATTTGTGGAATTTCTTTCCTTCTTAATGCCTTCTTCAGAAAATATTTTTTTTTTATAAAAAAATGCTATATATATCTGTGGGCGCGGACTAGGCCTACTGATGTCCTGTTCAGTTTGAGAGGGAGAGCACAAAGATGAGGACCTAAGGTAAGCTTGCAACTGCTATAATTGATTTGAATAAAAACAATATGTTGCGTTTCCTAATGAAGCTATTTATCAGAGTTACTGACCTTACAATAAGCCATATTCGAGTAATTTACATAATTTACATTATTATAAAGCAGCAGCCACGGAGATGGACAGCGCATTGGTGCTGAGCGTAGGCTAATTCCAGAAGGTCTAATTCATTAAAACAGTTTTTGATTTGACTTTAGGCTACTAACAACAAGAAGGCTTTGTGTTGAAGCCTGTTTCTTCCTATTCAAGAAAAAAAGAAGTAGGCCCACCTGTTTAACAGACAAAATTATAGTCTACTATCCATAGATTTTCCTTCAGTCACCATGCACTCCTTAAATATCTCAGTGTAATTGAAGAGCTGAATTGAGGTGGTATGTGAGGGTATTGTCGCTTTTGTTAAAGAAAATGGCTAAAAGCATAGACTTTTAAGATTTAGATTTTTATGGACCTGATTATATAAAGCAATCTATGTATAACAACTCTTTAGTCCGCAATGCTTTATGCTAGAAATAACCTGTAAAATGCAGGGGTAAGACGTGACTCCGATGCATATGGGATATCTTTGGTTTATCGCTATGATATTCAAAGGCTGCGCTACAACCTTCTATACCCGAGAAGACAAAAAAATGACTTTGCTTGGGAAGGAATGTGTGATTCTGTCACTATCAATTGACGTTCGACATTTCAACAGGCTATTAAACGACATACTAACTCTAAATCAGTCAGAAGCAAGCCAGGTAGCCTAAGAAAGAACAAAAATGTATTCTTTAGGCTATATTACTATTATTTCAAGGCTATAGCCTGCCGTTTAAAAAATCTATTGTGAAGCATTTGTGACATGCTACAGGCTGGCAGGAGTGCTCAGCATTTCAACAACACATCAACAACAGCACTTCGACAACGAGCCTATACATTTAGCATTTAGGCTGTATACAATAAATAATGCCTTACAATTAAATAATAATAAAACAAAAAATGACGTATTCTACAGTGCAGTCATTTTACAGTACCTTTGAATTCACTTTTAGAAACATGAGTTTGGCTAGTCTTTGGTTTGAGGATCATGGGGTGAGCTATGCATGCCTAGTTTGTTAATCTAGCATAGCAGATGCTCTTGTATTCCCATGCCCTTAGCACCGTCAACACAAATCTGTTTTGTAACAACAATATCATGGAATAAAATAGAATAAATAAGAAAATGTTAGTTTAACAGTGTCTGGTAGGCTTCGGACATGGTGAATGAAGGTGATCCACAGGGGTCCAGTGGTGTGCCCTCTGTCTTTCTCAGACACAGGCGTTCTGGCCGTAGGAAGTGGCAGCCTGACTCCGTGATGGTGCAACTCCAGAGTACACTTTGCCCCTGGGCTGGTATGCATAAGGTCTGAGGACGGGAAAGAAGAGAGGAAGAGTGGATGAGGACACACATAGATGTGGATAAGGAAGGATACAGACACACACACACACACACACACATACATACACACATGTACATAGACACACAGTATCCACTGAACTCACTGTTTCTCAGACGTGCCCAGTTTGCAGGCACATGTCAAACACGACCCTCCAATGATAGCAAGAAGAGCCGAGCACCAGCCAATGTAGAGGCCCTCTCCGATTTCATACCTGCAACACACAGTACATCCCACAGTTAATCAAGTTCATAAATAGGGGTTGGAAGCGAGACTGCTCTTCTGTCTAAAATACAGCAGAGGGCAGTAGTATGCTACTAGCCTCATTACTTTAGTTGGAATCAGTCTCCTCTCACTTACTTTATCCCGGGATAGAATGGATCAAAGAAGTCCTGGGTGATGTTGAAAGCATACCAAGACACTGAGATCATTGTGCACAGGCCTGAGAGAGAGAAAAAGAGAGGGAGAAAGAGAGAGAAGTTAATTGTGCACAAAGTAATTGAGATTTAGCAGTTATAACATATAGAAGCAGTAATTATAGTAAACTTGAGAATGCCCAGTTACCTTGAAGAAAGAAAAGCACGCCACCAACGCCAGCTATTCTACCCTTTAGAACCATGTCCTCTCCGGCCGCTTTAGAACACTGTACCCCGACCAGGGTGGCGAGGAGCCCGATAGATCCAAAAACCATCGCTGCAATCATCAATGCTCGAGACGCCTGGATGTATCCTGCTTAAAAATAAAGGCAAACTGTACATTTTACAATCAAGATTAATAGGGCTATTACACGTTTTTTATATACTGTAATAACAAATACAATGATTATCAAATGTGATTTGTACAGAAACATATTGAGTAATACACATTTTATTAACCACACGTGAAACTAATAATTATGATAATAAATATTTAAGGATATGATGTATTGAAGTTGAACAGCCTTCTGCTGTGTTGAGTAGGGAAGGAAAATTGGCACAATCAAAGACCTATAAATAAATTATTTGGCAGATTTTATCTTAACCAATTACATCTTGATTCAACCTAAATTGATTGGTTATTTACGTTGTTCTCGGATAATCATATTTTTACCTTATGACCTCTTATCCACAAATTAAAAAGTAAAAGTGTAGCCTATGGGGCTTTAATTACAACAAAACAATATCGATCATCATAGGCAATAAATCAATTTACTCTTCAACATTATTGGTTAATGTATCTATTGCAATTGTTACATTTTTTATTGACAAAGATTCCAATTATCTTGGGTGCACTTGCCGTTCAGGGCGAGTAGAGAGGGGAACTCGCGACAGTTGTGGACACCAGTTGAGTCTGTGGCACAGGACATCCATAGGTTCTCATAGATGGTGGAGGTAGTGATGACGTTCCCGTCATCCGTTGAAACCTTCCAGTAACGGTTCGGTATAGCTATCCCCACCATCAACCATCCAATGAACCCAAGCAGCAAGCTAACAACCTCCAGTATAGGATCCATTTAGTTTTTTCTAGTAATTGGTGTAAATAAAAACAGAGAAGGAGAAAGAAAATAGTATATCCTATCGTTAGGTTGTATCCTCTTCGATTTTATTCGATTCACTTATTTTTGTCTATGATATTTGTGCTTAAAGAATTATAAGCATATAGCTCCACCGGTTGAAATTCTGTTGAGTGTCTGCTCCCCTTCTTGGTCACGATTGTGCCAGGTTGTCAATGAGCAACAGATATGGTCAGTGATTTATCATTGCCTACCTGTGTTCTCTCCCACCCCCTCACACACACACTTGTTTTTGCTACATCATGGGGACACATAACTGGGAGGTGCCTGACGGGACAGCACTTTCAAAATGGTCGAGGGGCATGATCTAAACTGATACAAGTTTCTTGTGCTTCTGCAATCTTAGAAATGACTTGAAATATCAAGATTTAATCATATTAACCACACTTGACATTTCACATCCTGCTGAGTAATGTGTTAGATTATCCACCCTAATGAGGACCAGTGATGTCATTACTATTTGCTTTACAAAGTGTGACATCACTGGGTGGTACTACAGGGGACCAAGCTTCTGGTGCATCTTTGTATTTCGTTTAATGGTTTACATTGTAACGCTTTTAAGTCCATATGGGATAGTGGTCTAGAGGGGTGGAGAATGGTTATACAGGATTTATATTCTGTAATCCTCAATCTGCCTCAGAAGTGAGTCTTCCCTAAAGACAGATACCACAGCTCCCATTGTGCAGTTCCTTACTATCACCTGGCAGTTTGGATATCAAGGTTGCTGGGTCTTGTCTGCTGGAGTTAAGTCTGTAGTGTTCCAATATGTGAACACATCCTATACATCTTTAGGGAAGCTGTCACACTCTAGCAAACAAAGGGATAGGAGGGATGCTCGACAACTAGACATATACTGAAGACGTTCACTGATAAAAATAAACTACACATGGACTAAATCATTGGATGGTGTTGAGGCACCAAAAAATCAGAATGTTGAGGAATAAATGCATTCATATTGCACTCACTTCATTCCTGAGGACAGATGGACATGCTTGTATATCCTATAACCCTTCTGTTTTGAAGGGTCATGGCACCCCTACAGGACTCCAATTGCTTCCAATTAACCTAGGCCACGCCCCTTCCCTCCAAACTTGTTCTCACTTCCTAATCACCTCTCCTCTACTTTTTACCCCAAGTCACGCCCCTTCCCTCCACACCTGTTCCCACTCCCTAATCACCTCTCCTTTACTTTTTACCCCAGGTCACGCCACTTCCCTCCACACCTGTTCCCACTCCCTAATCACCTCTCCTTTACTTTTTACACCAGGTCACGCCACTCCCCTCCACACCTGTTCCCACTCCCTAATCACCTCTGCTCTACTTTTTACCCCAGGTCACACCACTTCCCTCCACACTTTGTTCCCTCTCATGCTTCCCCTTTTTTTTAAAAATCTGAATTTATGGATTTATTTACGATGCTTAAGACCGTAGATATACTTTACTAAATAAAACAAATTATTTGAACAGCAGTGCAGAAAGTGTGGTTTCATATTTTTTTTTTTATAGTGTGCCTTCAACGGGATTCGACCTCACCCTCACATCCCTGAATGTTCCCTACTCTACCCGCTAAGTTACCGGTCAGGTAAAAGTTTTTGTACAAAATCCTATCTATATTTGTAACTGCTGTAGAGGTCGGTGTTTGAAAACAGCTTGGAATCGAAGAAAGCACCGGAATCATGTTGAAATCAGTGGGGTCTCGCATTTTGCAACACACGGTTATGAAAAATTACGTAATCAAACGAAGCTTTGGATGTCATCGATACTTCTGATCAAGTGATACATGCGTCGGCACACTGTTTCAAATGTAGCTGCTTAGCGATTTCGACGCATGCCTCGGAGCTCCTGTATCAAATGTAACATCAATAATATATATTCCGTTGCCCCACATTATGTATTTTTGATGTTCATGTCCTCAATTTGTTAATTCTAATTGCTCCTTTGTTATGTTTATCATGGCAGTCTCCTCAGTTGTATGTTAAGCCTATTCCACAGTCACTTTGTAATGTCTACACCCTTTGATGTGTTTCAAATGTTTCCCTTTTGTATCTCCCTTCCAGACCAGCACATCCTTGTTACCCACATCGTATCTCAAGGCCTTACAAGCCACAACTCCTAACACATCTTACCTACCTACAAGCCCCAACTACTAACCTCCATCAGAACCCTCCCCCCATGTGCTGTTCATTCCTGTGTTCAAGTGGGTGTAATAAATACCCCTATTCCTGCTCCATCTCCTCACTTGCATTATATCCGATGCGCCATGGTGGCAGCAACAGTCGTGAACCTAGCTTGCAGTCCATGGTGGCAGCAACAGTCGTGAACCTAGTTTACAGTCCATGGTGGCAGCAACAGTCGTGAACCTAGCTTAGAGTCCATGGTGGCAGAACGTAGCTTAGAAAATAAGTATTTGGTCACCTACAAACAAGCAAGATTTCTGGCTCTCACAGACCTGTAACTTCTTCTTTAAGCGGCTCCTCTGGCCTCCACTCATTACCTGTATTAATGGCACCTGTTTGAACTTGTTATCAGTATAAAATACACCTGTCCACAACCTCAAACAGTCACACTCCAAACTCCACTATGGCCAAGACCAAAGAGCTGTCAAAGGACACCAGAAACAAAATTGTAGACCTGCACCAGGCTGGGAAGACTGAATCTGCAATAGGTAAGCAGCTTGGTTTGAAGAAATCAACTGTGGGAGCAATTATTAGGAAATGGAAGACATACAAGACCACTGATAATCTCCCTCGATCTGGGGCTCCACACAAGATCTCACCCTGTGGGGTCAAAATGATCACAAGAACGGTGAGCAAAAATCCCAGAACCACACGGGGGGACCTAGTGAATGACCTGCAGAGAGCTGGGACCAAAGTAACAAAGCCTACCATCAGTAACACACTACGCCGCCAGGGACTCAAATCCTGCAGTGCCAGACGTGTCCCCCTGCTTAAGCCAGTATATTAAACAGTGCTTGTCCCTCTTGCTGGGATAGTTTTCCCTGTAGGCGCAACAGACAAACATAACTTTTAATGGTGCAACTATTTGTGGGGCTATCTCCTTCATTAGATACTATGTTGCAATAGAAGCCTGGGTCACGAGGTTAGTGTATCCTACAGATGTAGGATCTTATTTTGAGCCAGTTTGCTACAACAGGAAAATAATCCGGCAGCAACAGGAACATTTTTGTACGGGTTGATAAAATTTTTCATTTGGGCAAATTAAGTCTGACATTTTAAAGTGGATATTACAAACATATCCACATCACTGTCAGAGCAAAGGTCTATTACCTGAAAAAAATTACCTGAAAAATATAGCTGCAAGCAGCGATTACTGGGATCCAAGCCAAAATGACAAGGTTCATGACTAAAAGCATGACATGACTCATGACCGCAGTCAAATTCCATGTGAATTAGCTGGCTAGCAAACAGATCTACAAATGCATTGCTTGCTAATGTACAGAGCCTACCAGTTGGTGATTAGCCTACAGCCAAATAAACATTCATGCACTTACTTGCAAACATTGATGGAGTTGCTAGCTGGCAAATATTTTTCCTCTTGGATGTTGAGTTTACTATTGTATCCTTTTGATGGCAAATTTACTTTATAATTCAACCCTGCTATAGTTGCTGAGGGTCGACTTTTCCAGGCAAGTGTTTGCACTGCAAGCGATCAAGCACCTCAGTAAGCGGGCTAAATTATTGAACTTGTCTATGTAAATTAGAGTACAATTTTACAGCTGTAACGTTCACTCCACTTGTAATTTTTATAATACAGTAAAGTAGCCTACATGCTTGTTGTAGGCTACAAGCAAACGAGAACACCAGCCGTCTGATACTGACTGATCAAAGGGTGGCTGGCCCAGCGGCTGCTTGAGAACTCTCAGAGCACGTTATGACGTCTTGCCTGGGTTTGTTTACATGATGTCTTGCCTGGGTTTGTTACACTATGTCTTACCTGGGTTTGTTTACCTGATGTCTTGCCTGGGTTTGTTTACATGTCTTGCCTGGGTTTGTTTTGTCGCCCGACAGTTTGATATTTCATAAATACAAATGACGTAAATGAAACTTACTGAGTTTTGCTTTAAGACCTGCCTAAAATAAAGAATGGATTTATTGTGATGGTTTATATAGTCTATTGAAGCACCGGTGCGTCAATCTAAGTAACATAATAAAAAAATCCCCATCAAAATCCGTCAGTTTAAGCTAGAGATATCTGCCGTGGAAGGTGGCAGAGCTATAGTGGTGTTTGTCAGAGCATGAGACATCCCGAAAAACAGTCTTCTCACATCCTTCTCACATATTTTTCACATATTTCTATAGAAATATGAGACTCACGAACACGATGGTTGTCTCCGTTTTGCTCTACGACCTCCACAAGCCCCACGGGACTCGTCTGAAGTCGGTACAGTTGATGTGCCAACTTCTATTTGTAGCGTCCGAACCGTTTGGACCACAAACTAATGTGACCATGTTTTGCTTTACGACCACCACAAGTGTCATGGGACTCCTCTGAAAGCAATCGGTACCGGTTTAATAAATGAATGGAAGTATGGAGGAAGTTTTGTGCCTACCCCAAAAAAAGGGTTAAATATGTGTGCCTACGGTTTAGACTTTTAAGAATTAAATGGATTTATTAGACTTTGATGTTTCAAAGGCGGGTATTAGTGGCTTGTATGCATGGAGGCCTGGAAATATACACAATACCCTTGCCCTTTCCAAAACCATAAACACATTGAAACCTTTCGCTTTAAGCCTCTTGGGAATGGTTTAAAAACTAACCAGTGTTTGCTATACACATATTTCTGGAGCTGGAACTGCCTCGTTCACAGGGGATGATGACTGGTCTGTCTCATTGCCTTCATAGCGTTCCAAGTTTCCCGAGGACTGGAGAACAGACGCACACATTTAGAACATTAGCCACTAGTTTACGTGGCATTTAGA